CATTGGAGTTTTCTATGAATCTTAGAGATAAGTCCCTTGACAGATACGTAATTATCAACAAGTATGAATTTGTTGCTGTCATTTTTTGTTATGTGCTTTTTTATGGTGGTTTTGTTGTTCCATATAATTTTCTGTGCTGAGCTCATTTTGTTTATGAATCATGTTATCACTTTCTTCGTTGCTATTTTAGTATTTGTTAAATATTTGTGCAGGTCCTCTTTTTTATTTTGATGTGAAGGTTTATCATTTTTCTTTGAGGTTACCCTGTGACTTATAATTTTCTTCCCAAGTTTAGAACAGTCCATTCTATCTTGTATTTGTCTTGACTTCCCTACCATTTAGAAGTTCTGTAACTACACAATTTTTTTCCCTCTTTTTGGTTTGTAGTTGACCTCACTTGCCAGTTGATGTCTGTGGTTCCCTGTTTACAATCGTGGAGGCTTATTTACTTTGGATACTTCCATAGTTGGGTGGATAAAGTATTTTAATAAAAATATTCTCTTTCTTGAATATTGACTTACACATTAAAAATAGCTATTGAAAGATTTAAAATCTTTCTAAATTTTAATCCAAACCAGAGATGAACCCTTGAAATAATATTCATTCCTTCTGTACCTCAGCCTGTCTTCTTTGGATTAAAAACTCTAGGGCAAATTAACTCTTCCTCCTCTCACCTATGTCTAGCAATCACAAAGCCCTATTGATTCTATCTTATAAATATTGTTCACTACTGTCTCTTCCCAGTTTCTTGATTCTTCTCTGATATGCACTCAAAAAATATTTTTGATTATCGGCAAAATTCTCAGATGTTAAGTGCTGGGGATCTGGTAAAAAGCCAAACAGACTAAGTTGTGGTCCTCATAAAGCATACTCTCGACACTGGGATGTATACTTAGATGTTGTTATGTTGTTGTTATGTACTGTCGAGTCGGCCCCGACTCATAGCGACCCCTCCTTGGGTTTCCGAGGCAGTATCACTACGGAAGTAGGATTGCCCAACCTTCCTTCCGAGGAGTGGCTGGTGGGTTTGAACCGCCAGCCGTCTGGTTAGCAGGCAAGTGTCTTAGCCACTATGCTACCAGAGCTCCCGTATACTTAGATATACTTAGATACTCACAAGAAATATATGATTATGGGTGGTGGTTATGGTCTCCAAAAGGAAACTAACAGGAAACATGATATAATATGTGTGAAAGGGGAGGGGAAGACAGTCAAGGAGGGCTTCCCCTGAAGGACTAACATGGAGTTGGGGATCCAAGGGAATGGGCTGGGGAGATGACAAGATGAGGGATGGGGCTTTAAATGGGAGAAAAAACAGAGCTCTAATGGCAAAAGCCATTAAAAAAACAAACAAAAAAAAAACTAAATTCACTGCCGTCAAGTCTGTTCCAACTCATAGTGACCCTTTCTTGGGTTTCTGAGGCAGTATCTAGTATTCCTTCTAAGGAGTGGCTGGTGGGTTTGAACTGCCTTAGGCACTGTGCCACCAGAGCTCCTTGGAGATCCAAGGGAACAGGGTGGAGTATGATGACAAGATGAGGGATGGAGCTTTAAATGGGGAAAGCCATTGTTGTTGTTGTTGTTGTTTGCCCAGGAAAATGAAACAAATGCTGTCATTACTTCAGGGCAACCCAACCTCTCTCCCTAAGGTAAGAAAGAGATGTTGATGTTATTGTTGTTGTTGTTGTTGTTGTTGTTTGCCGTCGAGTCGGCCCTGACTCATAGCGACCCCTCCTTGGGTTTCCGAGGCAGTATCACTACGGAAGTAGGATTGCCCAACCTTCCTTCCGAGGAGTGGCTGGTGGGTTTGAACCGCCAGCCTTCTGGTGAGCAGTCAAGTGTCTTAGCCACTATGCTACCAGAGGGGAAAGCCATTATGGGGTCTTAAATAAGTGAATGACGTGAACAAATTTTCTTTATGAGAAAAGCATTTGGTCTTCAGTGTGGAGTAGAGATTGCATGTGGGAGATCATTTAGGAGGCAACGGGGTGGGTGAGATGATTGAGGATGTAAACAGATTGAAAGATAATTAGGAAGTCAAATCCCTGGTTCTTGGTGATGGATTGCACATGGTCTGGTGATGAGAAGCAGAAATTGATGAAGAATCCTAATTTTTTTTTTTGTTGGCTTGTAAACTAGATGAATACAGAAATGTTGCCATTTTCTGAGATACAAAATATTGAAGATCAGGTTTTTAGAGGGGAAATTGGAGGATGATCATGTACGCCATTTGGGGATGTGTTGAGTTTGAGGTGAGTTTTGAAACTTACATCTGATAATGGCCTCCCTTGTTTAAAATCCTTCAGTGGCTTGCCTCACCTTCACTCCCATGAAGTTCATACTCCATTACATTGTATGCACAGCCTTTCCTAATTGGGTCCCAACAATAATAATTATTATTATTGAACTTTTTATTGTGCTTTGGGTAAAATTTTATGAAGCATATTTGTTTTACATTCAACAGTTCATATATACATTTTGTTTTGTGAAACTGCTCACATTCCCCACAGTGTAACAGCTCTCCTCCCACTTCCTCCATGTAGTTACTCTTTCCCTGTACCCTTCTTGCCTATGCATTCCTATCTCCCTACCTTTCTCCCTGTGCAAATGTCTGCCCTTCTGATCTCCCATGGTTGATTTTTGTAAGGAGTGCATCTCCCTGTTGTAGGTGTTCAGCTCATAGGCCTTTGTATTGTTTCCAATTCCAGGCCCAAAGGGTGACTCAGGGCCATAGTTTCATGTGTTTTACCAGTCTCTGTCAGATCAGTAAGCCTGCTGTTTTTTATGACTTTGGAGTTTTTTCCACCTTTTTTTCCCTCCTCTAAACAGGATCTCCAATTTTGATTCAATTTTGGGCCCCAATAAACTTTCATAATGTATTTTCCTCTTTACTCCCCACATGCATGTATCCTCGAATTCGGACACTTCTCACTAGTACTAAAGAATCAAGTACCTCAACCTTCAGATTTTGCATACATATCAAATGACCTGCCCCTTTCTCCTCCTCCTCCTCCCCATTCCTTGCCCTCCCCCTCCCTTACCTCCTCCTTTACTGCCTTAAATCCACTTCTGTTTATGCTATTAATTTCCAGTAGGATATTTTTCTTCACTGAAGTAAGTACCCACAGAACTAATAACATTGATTCTAACACCAGCAGTTATGCATTCTTTAGAGTAGTGGTTCTCAAACTTGTGCACATGAGAATCAACTACAGGGCCTGTTAAAACACAGTGGCCAGGCCCCACCACCAGAGTTTTAGATATAGTAAAGTTATGGATTGAATTATGTGCCCCCAAAAGATATATTGGAGTCCTCAGCCCCTGTACTTGTAACCTAGTTTGGAAATAGGGTCTGACACGATGTTAAGTTAGCATGAGGTCATACTGGAGTAGGATGGGTCCTAATCCAGTATGAGTAGTGTCCTTATAAAAAAAGAAAGAAGAAACATAGGCACAGACACAGAGGGAAGAAATGTGAAGATGGAGGCAGAGATCGGAATGATGCATTTACAAGCCAAAGATTAGCATAAACCACCAGAAGCTAGGAAGAGACAAGAAAGGATCTTTCCTTAGAGACTTTAGGAAGAACACACTCTTGTCAGCATCTTGATTTGGGACTTCTAGCCTCCAAAACTGTGAGGCAATAATTTCCTGTTGTTTTAAGCCCCTGGTTTGTGGTACTTTGTTTAAGCAGCCCTAGGAAAGAAATACAGTAGATCTAGGATGGGGCCCAAGAATTTGCATTTTTAACAAGGTTCCAGGTGATGCTGATTGCTGGTCGAGGGAACACACTTTGTGAACTACTGCTTTACAGAAGGGCTAGGGTTAACCGGAGGGTTGATCACACTTCTCCCCATTAGAGGCCATACCCAGAAACTTGATTTGCAGTTTTCCTGGGCAATCAAGCCCTGCTTACTCCTTAATCTCTCCCAGGATACCTAGAGCTGCAACTGTGCTGACTGCCTGGCTGGCAGCACCTTAGACTCCAAACCCACCACATTCCAGAGAACAGAGGAAGGCTTCCAGCAAGGCAAGAGACCAATCTCTCTCCTTTTGCTTCCCCAGTGTATTATTAGCCAGTTATAGTCCTGAAACCCAGGTCTCTGGGAAGCAGGTGACATTCTTCCTCCAAGGTCTGTATGCCGGCTCCTCAGTTTACCTGCATCAGAAGCACCTATGACATTTGGATTCCTAGACCCAGCCTTAGTAATTCTAGGAATCAACCAGGGAATCTGCATTTTAACAAGCTCATTGGATCTGTGGTTCTCAAACTGTTCTGGTCCTTGGCCCAGCAACATCACCATCTGAAACTTGTTAGAAATGCACATTCTCAGGCCCTACCCTAGACCTACCAAATTCGAAACTCTTGAGTTTGAGGCTTAGCTCTCTGAGTGATTCTGGTGCCTGATCAAGTGGGAGAACAACTGGCTTAAATTCACTGGCTTAAATTATTTGGCCCCCAACTTTAAGAACCTCAGATTTGGTTTGGTTTTTATTGCAGGTTCTAGATTTCCTTTTCTACCTGCATATTGCCAAATCAAAACACCCACCTGAAAGTAAGAACACCGTCTCCCCCCAAACACACACACACACACACACACACACACCCTACCTTCCTGTAGGACGTAAGTTCTCAACAAGAGTGAGCAGGAATTAACCCTAGTGGAATTGGTCACTAGTGTACAGCCCAGTTCCCCTTTATTTGGCCAGGCAGTGGTCCCTGAGGAGGCTGACTTGGCTTTATTTGGAGCTCTGAGGCGATGTGGCGGGCTTTTCCTAGGGTACTGGACTCTGGCGTCCCGCCCCGCGCTTCTGCGTAAACACGCGGTTCCCTCGGCAACGCCTGGAACCCACGTCAAAGGCTCCACTGGGTCCGGGTGGGTCAACAGCCACCCCTCCGGGCAGCGGCCGCTATCCCCCGGGCCCTAAGACACCCCTTTGGCCAGGCGGCCGCTTTCTCCCGTGAGGGATGACCAGACCTGCAGCCATCGCGGGGCCCCATGGAGCAGCCGCCGCCTGCCCGCCCACCAATGAGCACGCCATTGCCCGGCAGCCCTCAGCCCGGCGCCCCCTCCGCGGCCGGCGTGCCTGGCGGGACTTCTTCGGCAGCCGCGGCCGTGCGCTCCTTCAGCACCCTAGTCACGGCGGCGGCCGCGGCGCTGGGGAACCGGAGCGACGGGAACGGGGGCGGCAACGCTGCCGCCCCGGCTGGCGGCGGCCTCGGCTGGCTCGGGGGGGCGGCGGGGAGGCCGCCTCTGGGCCCGGAGGCGGCGCAGCTACTGTCGCACGGGGCTGTGGTGGCGGCCCAGGCGCTCGTCCTCCTGCTCATCTTTCTGCTGTCTAGTCTGGGCAACTGCGCGGTGATGGGGGTGATCGTGAAGCACCGGCAGCTCCGCACCGTCACCAATGCCTTCATCCTGTCCTTGTCCCTGTCGGACCTGCTCACCGCGCTGCTGTGCCTGCCCGCCGCCTTCCTGGACCTTTTCACTCCGCCCGGGGGCTCGGCGCCCACCGCTGCCGCCGCCGCCTCCACAGGGCCCTGGCGCGGCTTCTGCGCCGCCAGCCGCTTCTTCAGCTCTTGCTTTGGTATCGTGTCCACGTTCAGCGTGGCCCTCATCTCGCTGGACCGGTACTGCGCCATCGTGCGTCCGCCCCGGGAGAAGATCGGCCGCCGCCGCGCGCTGCAGCTGCTGGCGGGGGCCTGGCTGGCGGCCCTTGGCTTCTCCTTGCCCTGGGAACTGCTGAGGGCACCTCTGGAGCCCCCGGCGGTGCAGAGCTTCCACGGTTGTCTGTACCAGACTTCCCCGGACCCCGCGCAGCTGGGCGCGGCCTTCAGCGTTGGGCTAGTGGTGGCCTGCTACCTGCTGCCCTTTCTGCTCATGTGCTTCTGCCACTACCACATCTGCAAGACCGTGCGCCTGTCGGACCTGCGCGTGCGGCCGGTTACCACCTACGCGCGAGTGGTGCGCTTCTTCAGTGAGGTCCGCACCGCCACCACCGTGCTCCTCATGATCGTCTTCGTCATGGGCTGCTGGGGGCCCTACTGCTTCCTGGTGCTGCTGGCTGCGGCTGGGCAGGGCCAGGCTGCGCAGGCCCCCTCGCTCCTCAATGTGGTGGCTGTCTGGCTGACCTGGGCCAATGGGGCCATCAACCCTGTCATCTATGCCATCCGCAACCCCAACATTTCAATGCTTCTGGGACGCAACCGGGAAGAAGGCTACAGGACTAGGAATGTGGACCTTTTCCTGGCCCACCAGCGCACAGGTTTGCGGGCACAAAGCCGCAATCGCCTTCGAAACCGCTATGCCAACCGGCTGGGGCCCTGCAGCAGGATACCCTCTTCCAACCTAGCCAGCGGGGCGGGAGGGGACGTGGCCAGGTGGGCCTGCAACAATCCAGTTGTGCTTTTCTGCCGGGAGGGGCCACCAGAGCCTGTGGCAACAGCGGCCAAACGACCTAAATCAGAAGCCGGAGATACTAGCCTCTAAATAACAACAAGAAGAAGTACTGTAATTCACAGCTAGTGGAAGCAAATTTCCACCCCCTTCCTTTAGCGATACAGGATTCCAGGGGAAATCATGGGATTTCATAAAGCCAAACATTTAAAAGGGGGGGGGGCTACCACTGCCCCCAAAGAACTTCATAAAAGACAATGTTCACTTCTAAAGTGCCAAAAGGAGTGTAAAATGCAAAAATTAAATCTGAAGCAACACAACCAAACATTGTGAACTGTAAGTGCCAAAAATAAAATTCACAATTACTGGAAAGCTCATATTACAGGAACCACACTGTGACACAAACAAAATTATTGAATGAAACCAGTATTTGTTCAAACACAGTTTCAGGAATGAAAAGAGACCTTTAGAGCTACTTGAAGGTCACTCTAAGTCACCAGCATCCAACAAAATTTCAGATTTCTAGAACTTGCACCTCTGACATATGCTTTCGGTGCTTAGGCCAGTAGAGGTGAAGTTTTTATTCTTAAACACTTTGGTGCACTTTCCCCTCCCCATAATCTTGATGGGAAATTTTAAATTCATACCCATTTAAAATAATTCTAGAGTTTTGAAAAGATGACTTACTACTAGATAAAATTCAGCGTTTTCTGAAGGCCAAATGCAAGTATGAGCATAAAAATGTAAGCTCTGGTGGCATAGTGCCTAAGACATTTGACTGCTAACCAGAAGGCTGGCCTTTCAAACCTACCAGCCACTCCTCGGAAGGAAGGTTGGGCAATCTACTTCCGTAGTGATACTGCCTCAGAAACCCAAGGAGGGTCGCTATGAGTCGGATCCGACTCTACAGTAGTGAGTTTGCTTTGGTTTTGGATTTTTTAAAGTATTCCAAAATTATCATAATTATATTCCAAAATTATATACCTCCTGCTAACCCCAAAATTACCTACCTTGGAAAGCTGTGCAGCTTTACTTGTACTCTACCTGCTACTTTTATTTCTGACCATTTTTGGAATGCTACTTTCAGAATGGTTCACATTCGAAAAAAATATCTTTCATAATGAAAACTATTTGTCTTTTGAGGTAATTTTATTTTTGCATGCAACCAAAGATGTAATTTGAAGTCAAGTGCTGAATAAGGTGAGTAATGCCACTTTTTTAAAAAAAAAATAAAAAATGAGAGCTCTATAAAGGAGCAAGATTGGCATTCCTGTGTGAATTATAACCAGGTTGAAGACAATTTCCACAAAGCAATTTTAAAAGTATTTTGAGTAGTGGCCCCATTCTTGGCATGAGCACAGAGTTTTCCAAAAGGATCCCTCTCTCTACATTTGGAAATTTGGGTATGTTTATTTAAAAAAGAAAAATGAATCATTGCTTTATAGCCAGGATTTGTTCATAATAATGTAGTCTTTATTAGAAAAGGAGAACAGGTATGAGATGGTTACTTATAATGGGGTGTTTAAAACACAGGCATAAAGAGTTACAGAGGTACTGCTAACAAGCTGAACATAGTTTCTTCTTCAGAAATGTGCAAAACAAAGATGCTTGTTAAAATAATTCAAAAGCACAATTCAGGATGTGTGTGTGTGTGTGTGTGTGTGTGTGTGAAATTTCTCACATTAAATGCAACTGTACACAGAACCATTTACTCAGATATTTAAAAGATGTTTTTGTTCTCCCTGGTTCTTCCATCCTGCCCCCTCCCCACCGTTTTCTTCAACATTTAACTGAATCGGTACTGTAGGTATGAAACAACTTCAGCTATCATCTGAAGATTTCAATGTGAAGTAAGCAGCATTTTTCTTTCTTGAAAAGTATTTGAAGATATTTAATAGTATTTCATTCTTTGGGTGACAGGGTGTATATTATTATTTTGTAATCAAAGATGGAAATACATGATTCATGTCAGAGCTAAAGATGTATTGATTTTTTCCCCTTCTCAAGGCCTCACCACAATCAGAAGTTCATAGATTATCTGTGTGTATTTTGCCACACTCAATGTAGTACAAACTAGATGAGATAGTCTCTCATTTCTAGATACTTATTGTCAGAAAACATATTCAGATTTAACACAACTGAACTAACATTTAACAGATGTCTACAGTATTTACCTGTTAAAGACAAAAAATTAAGTACGTTTTATGGCATTGTGAGCAAATGGAAGTCACATCTCAAATTCAGGAAGATAAAGTCTTCTAATCCTGAGACGTGTCAGAATAGGGATTCAGCTACTGTGACTAAAGGGCAGAAAGACTTAGAGATGTAGGAGAAGAGAGTGAGCATGCTGCAAACTAGGATATTGCCTGAGAAGAAGAATTGAAGGAAGATGTGTTAAAGGTAAATACCAGTGCCCCCATGACCTATTGCCATCAAGCTGATTCCAACTCATGGTGACTCCATGTGTTACAGAGTAAAATTGCTCCCTAGGATTGTCTTGGCTATAATCTTTATGGAAGCGATCTCCAGACCTTTCTTCCATGGAGCTGCTGTGTGGGTTCAAACCACCAATCTTTAGGTTAGTAGTCAAGTGCAAACCATTTGTGTCACCCAGGGAATATTAAAGGTAAATGGGACCTGCAATAAATATGCCTGTTGAATGAAGGGAAAAGTCCTAGAGCTTTGAAGTGACAAGGTGAGGACATGAAAGGCTTTAAGGCAGTGAAAAATGTTCCACCCTACCTCTTCAGTGTTAGAAAGTTTTAGGAAAGAGGTGGCTTGGAGAAGAGATCATCTGTTGTGGGTCAAAGAATCGTGGTTGGCAAGATTGGGAGGGGAAAGAGAAAAAGCCACCAATAAGTTACTGAACAGTGTTTTTGTTTGTTTGTTTGTTTGAAGGTATACAACTAATCAGTGGTAGACCTAGGATTTGAACCAAACGCTGTTTGGCTGCAATGCCTGTGTTCCCTCATGTACCCTTTGCTGTCCTCACAAAGATCTATTGTTAGGGAAATCGGGATGAGAAGCGGTATTATCCTCGACATCATCACCAACTACTGTTTGTCTCCTATTTTATGTAGGACAACTTCTTAGATGCCAGTGCTACTGAGAGGGTAAAATCACAGTACCTGCCTTAAGGGGGTGTTCTGTTTACCTAGTGCTGCTCTGAAGACTATATCACCAGTGGAGTGGCTTGAACAAACAAGAGTTTATTCTCTCACAGTTTGGATGCTTTAAGTCCAAGTTCAAAGTACCAGGCTCTAGGGGCTGAGTGAAACCCCCTCAACCTCGGGCTTCAGCTCTGCTTCTTGCTCCTGGCCCATTGGAGCGAGAAGCATCTCTTCACTCAGGCAGCTGCTGGCAACTGAGACTGACAAGCCCAAGGTTGACAAGTAAAAATGCACAGTCCTGATGTTACCAAACCACACAGCAGGCCATTAATTCAAGTCCATTGAAAGTCCCAAGGTCAGCAAAGCATGGCAGGCTGCTGAACAATGACACGGCTACATGCAGGGTTCAAGCATGCCATAAGCTAGAGACCATTCCCAAAGCTGCTTTCTATATATGGGAAGTAGACCACACACCCAAACACCTACTCAGGTACTTGTGGTAGATCTCAACATGGAGCTGATTGCCAGTCTCATCATGGGGCATAACTACCACCAGCTGCCCAGCCACTAAACCAGGCCCAGCCAAGGTGACATACAACTTTGACTACCACAGGGGGCTTAGAGACTAATTGACTAGCTCATGTCTTACAAGAATTGGCCACAACTAGGACTTTAATTTAGCTGTGAAGAAGAAAAGGTGTACCATTTTCAAGAAAAAGAGATGAATTTGGAAGCAAAAATACATAGAATAAAGGCCAGCAACCCATCCTGGTTCAGTTGTAAATCCTTAGGAGGCGTGCTGACTAGGAGTGTACATTTATAGTGCCTCTGAAGGGAAAGGGGAAGGGAAAACTGAAACATTGGGATGTATTCAATTAAATATTATGTAATATTTAAGGCCAGAATATAAACCTTCATGTCTCATTCTGCTCCCGATTTATTTCATTTAGATTGCAGTAATAACAGTAATAAGTAATAGTATAGTATATATATTGGCTCATTTATTCCTCAGACCAACCTGATTAGGTGAGTACTAAGATTATCACTCCCCCATTTTACAGTTTAAAAATTGAGGCACAAAGATGTTAAGTGATTTCTCTAAAGTCATAGAACTAGTAAGTGCTAAATATAGGCTTCATACCATGCAGATTGGTGCCAAAAGTCCTTTCTTAATTGCTACAGTGTGTTGCCTCTCTAGTTTGTAAAAGCAGGATAGGAAACCTGGAAAAAAGCTGGGGAAGATAAAGACATTTTATCAAAGTGATGGGGAAATAGATATCATAAAGTTCAAGACCAAACCCATTGCTATCAAGTCAGTTCCAATTCCTAGCGACCTACAGGCCTGAGTAGAACTACCCCCTAGGGTTTCTCCAAGGCTATAAATTTTTATTAAAACCGACTGCCTTATCTTTCTCCTACAGAGCACAGCTGAAGGGTTCAAACTGCCGGCCTATGGTATTAGCAGCTGAATGCTGTAGCCACTAAACCACCAGAGCTCCTAAAATTTAAGAGAAGTGTTTTGTTTAATTTGGAGAACAGCGAGTTAGAGTTAAGATGTGTGTTTTTATTTATTTATTTATTTTGTGGTAAATATATAGTTAACTTTTGTTTTATAAATCTGTAAAAAGGTTCTGAGCATTTTCACTTGAGCAATTTCAACCTTAACCAAAAAAAAAAACCTCACTCCCATGAGTCGATTCCAAATCATAGCAACCCTCTTTGCATTTCTGAGGCAGTAAATCTTTATGTAAGTAGATTGCCCAGTCTTCCTTCTGCAGAGTGGCTAGTTGGCTTGAACAACCAACCTTTGGTTGGCAGGCAAATGCCTTAGGCACTATGCCACCAGAGCTCCTTATTTAACAAAAAAAAACTCACTGCCATCTTAAAACAACAACAAAACTCACTGCCATCGAGTCTGATCCAACTCATAGCAACCCCTCCTTGGGTTTCCGAGGCAGTATCACTATAGAAGTAGATTGCCTA